AAGAAAAAAAATGACTTTTTAAAGATAATTATGTAGCGTTCGTCGTGTTTTTTTTTTGTGAAATTCAGCGGTAAACTGGTATTTTAAAAGTATCGCCCGAACATACCGTTAGGTCGAAACCATGGCCGCGTATTTTAATTGACCTGCTGATTCTTTGAAGTTAAAAGCTCTACATGTTATTTTTATTTTTACCTATATTTTTTTCTCACGTGTATTGAACACTTTTAATACTACTCTTTCCTTGTCTGCTCCAACTCTGACAAATAACCTTTATATATATATATATATATATATATATATATATATATATATATATCTTACTTATTATAAAAACGCAGATTGTGTGTGTGTCTGTAACGTTTATATATTGGATCGGATTTCCTACATTTTTCAACAGATTTCAACAAAACTTCACAGGACTACATAAAATTACCTTGTGTTGGTTCTAACAGCGCCAAAAATGAAAAAAATATAATTGTTTTTTGCACAAAATCAATTTGAAAACCCGATTAAGAGACATCGTGAAAATGGAAGGGGACAACTCACATCGGGTTGTTTTGTGTGTGGGTTCCTTTAAATATGGGAGCGGATTTCCTATATTTTTCAACGATAAAACAAATGTTTTTATTCTCTTGCACACTTTTTTTCTTTATTTTTAACATTCAGAATGCTTTAAAATTCCATTTACAAGACAATTATTTATAATAAAATTCTATTCAATCGGGAGACTCATAACGATTGAAAACAATGTTTTTGTTTGAGTTTGGGTTTGACCAATTCGTAAAAAAAAAAAAAAAAAAACTAATTAAGTCATGCGTGTCCGTCAACCTTAAACAATAATCTAACGATCTCTACTGATTGTACGAATACAAACATCGGATAAATTCTTTATCTTTAGGGAAAGATAATGAAATCTAAACATACACAAGTCCTAACTAAAAATAATAACCGGAACGGGGAACTACTTTAAATACACATGGTACCAATTTTTTTACTGTATTCAATAAGTAAAAATCATAAATTGTAAAAGATTATTATTACAGAAAGGCTACTAAATGAATAAGATTTGTTAGATCATAATTAATAAACCCAAATAAAGTTAATATTTTTTGTATTAGAAACAACGAGTGGAAAATATATTCAAATCAGAATTCTAATTATGAATCACTAGATTCACTGTATTCAATAAGTAAAAATCATAAATTGTAAAACTAAAAGATTACAGAAAGGCTACCTACATTTTTCAACCGATTTCAACAAAACTTCACTTTTTTTTTTGCATGTAGTGTTTCTTATTGTCTTGCACACTTGTTTCTTTATTTTTACATTCAGAATGCTTTAAAAATTCCATTTACAAGACAATTGTTTATAATAAAATTCTATTCAATCGGTAGAGACTCATAACGATTGAAAACAATGTTTTTGTTTGAGTTTGGGTTTGACCAATTCGTAAAAAAAAAAAAAAATAATTCAGACATGCGTGTCCGTCAACCTTAAACAATAATCTTTGTCAATTTATTTTTCAGTCTTTATGATACTTATGGATACTTGATCTATCTCTTACTGTTATACCCCGGGCAACGCCGGGCTCTACTACTAGTATATATATATATATATATATATATATATATATATATATATATATATACGTGTGTGTATATCAAGTAGCACATTTATAAATATACTCGATTACACATGCCGTCAAATATATTAGCGTATTTTAACTTCTTATAACTTCTAACTTTAACTTCTTATCATTAAAATTTGCTTCGTGTATACATAAGAATATTTCTCTATTAATAATATTATTATTGTACTCTGCTAGATCTTTTCCTAGCATTGTAAACATCTTCGAACAATTCAAGAAACAGACACTGTCTTCCGGTTTCGACATTGCAAAGAACATTACAGCAACACGTTACAAATACCACAAATACACTTGACGTAATATATAGTAAAAAAAAAAAAAATTACTGAGGTTTTTTTCCTCAGTTATATCACTTCATCGCGGCCAAACAAAAAACTGTCGCGACAATCGTCTACTTTGGAAGAGACGATATACTTTGGTTAACAATAACTAAATGATATTGACTAACATAGACGAGTACAAGATACACAATCAAGAAGATAATGTTGATTAGGAAGATTGTGCTCCGTCGAATATTTTTAATATTAACCAAATATATAATAAAAAAAATAAGTAGACTTTGTTAGTGGAATTTAATATAACCTATTTAGACGTATTTTCGCTGCTTAAATATATCTTATTTAATATATAGTTTATTACTTCAAACGTTATAATAATGGATACTCTTGTTTGAAACAGACGTCCCATTTTATTCTAAACATTTTATATTAGGTCTATCAAGAAATCTTAATAAAGAAAATGTGTTCCCTGTTCGCCTCTCTCTAGGGAGACACAACCATTTAATCAAGCGTAATTTACGACTCGGCCACGAAGAACTCTAATAACGTGCTTTCCTTAAAAAAGAAAATAGAGCATTGCTTGTTAGTTAAGATTTCACGAATGTGCAAACCGATAGACGTAATACACCCCGTTTAAGATAAAAATAAGACGTCTATTTCAAATACGAAGTGTCAACTTTAATAACGCTTGAAGTAATAAGTAGATTAAAAATAGATCCATTAATTTTTTTACCACTCTCTCTCTCACACACACACTCTCCTCTCTCTCTCTCTCTCTCTCTCTCTCTCTCTATATATATATATATATATATATATATATATATATAAGTAATTATACTTGTCTGGAAAAATCTTAGTTTTTTTTGGCTTGCAAATGCACAAACCAATACCCAAGGGACAAAAAAAGAAAGAACTAAGAACATTTAATTGAGGCGAAAACAATCGTCCAGAATTCAAGCTCAGAGTCCAAAGAAAAGAACCACCAAAACGAGGAAAGCAAAAGTAAAGTGCTCAATACGCTAAGTAGAGCAAATCTAACTATGACCCTAAAGAGTCAGGCAAACATACCTAGGTTTCATCTACGTGGATCGTCAGCGTACCCTGACAATTCACGTAGGTGAAAACTAGGTAGGTTTGCCTGGCTCTTTTAAGTTCATATTTATATATATATATATATATATATATATATATATATATATATATATATATATACAGGATGATTGAAAATTATCTCTCTGCGTGTATGCGTGTTCAATCAGGAATTTTGATGTAACGCCATGTGACTTTTTTCTTTGGTGTTGGTTAAAGGACCAAGTATACTATACCAAACCAAGATTTTGGAAGAACTTGAAGATCGAATACAATAAGTTACGTCTTCTATACCACATTTGACACGATTCCTGGGCGGCTTGAGAATCTAGTAACGAAACCTGGTACCCATATCGAATTTTAAATAAACCCTCATGCTAAACGCTTTCTTCTCATATCCATTTCTTGTAATAATTATTGTTAAATAAATTATAAGTTTTTTTCAAATGGGGAAGTACTTTTTCAATTAACCTATATATATATATATATATATATATATATATATATATATATATATATAAAATATGTGTGCAGTTCAATTTACATTACATGAATCATTCATACAAAAAACAGATATAGAAGTTAATGATCATAACATTCATATACAGGTTCGGGGTTAATGTACTTTATTAAATTTGTTTGCGAAAATGTATTCTTCACCGCTATAATCAAATCATATGTGCAGGTGTCTGGCTGTCGGTTCCTGGAAACTGAGTTGCTTGACCCTCATACATCGAATACGACGAGAGAGTCCACCATATATATAATTAATATAAAAGGTTTGTCAGCTGATTGACGTAACCTTCCGCATCCTGACTCCAGAGTTCGTAGACCATTCACTTGATAGTGGGTATATGAGTAGTTGGTGTAATCATTGGAGGGTCCGTCTACGAAACTCTGGAGTCGGAATGCTGAAGGCAACATCAATCAGTTAAGTGACAAACGTTTTTCTTGTATTAATTCTATTAATGCTCTATCTTTGATATCGAACACTTTACTGCAAAGACTGCTTGCTTTAAATGTCTTTTCTCTCAATATACCATTGACTGTCAACATTTTTGGCTTCATAATATCTTTGATATTGCTCTCTCTCTCTCTCTCTCTCTCTCTCTCTCTCTCTCTCTCTCTATATATATATATATATATATATATATATAACATTAATAATATTATCAATATAAGCAGCTATACTCGTCCGGCAAAACCTTCGGTGTTTTACCTTGTAAATGAACAAACTAATACCCAAGGGAAAAAAGGAAAAAAAAAAAAGAAAGAACTAAGAACATATACTTCCGGTGAAAATAATCGTCTAGAATCAAAGTTCAGAGTCCAAAGAAAAAACCTCCGATACGAGTAAGTAAAATAACTAAACAAAGTGCTCAATACGCTAAGTAGAGCAAATAAAGCAAAGTAAACCTAAAGAGCCAGACAAACCTACCTATAGAATATATATATATATATATTTAGTCACATGGTTATCGTTTTGTGTTGTAGATTTATATTTCCTGTTCTGATTGCACCTCTTTAGCCAGTCTGCCCTGACGATCCGCGTAGTTGAAACTTAGGTAGGTTTGTCTGGCTCTTTAGGTTTACTTTAATATATATATAACTTTCAGAATGTAATGAAAATGTATAGAAGCAGGCTTTTGAATGAGAAGCTCTATTTTCTTTGAAAATATTTACTACGTTGTGTCATAAATCTTTCAATTTTCTATCCGAGTCTGGCATCGACATCCTATGATTTGAGGTTATGTTATGGAGAAAGCTGTTAATAATGAAGTCGGCTGACATGAGTTAGTTCCAAATGATATGAAATCAATTTTCTCGCAGATGAAAAACGGCATTATCACATAATGAGCCATATAATTCTTGCAATATTATCTGCTCACCAGGGGGATTTTTAAAAGAATACATCATTGGATCGGTCTACAGTCTTAGTCTATCTCAGACATTTTGGGATGAGAAACACATTTTATTAGCCCATGGGCCATATCACGTTGAAACATCGGTTCTCGTATGATAATCGAAGTTAAGCAACGTCGAGATTGGTCAGTACATAGATGGGTGACTGCTTGGGAATACCAGGTGCTGTAAGTTTGGGGTGCGGTTAGTGTAATGAATGACAACACGAAATTGAAAATCGGAGAGCGGAGTTCCAATTCAAGTCGGGTTTGCTATATTCACTTATGCGCAAATACCCAAGCGAAAGTTCTGAGTTCACTTATTCACCGTCCAGCTACTGGTTAATTTGTAGGAATTATATTAGTAAATCAATGTTATTTCCAAAACATTCTTACAGTCTAAAAATGTTCTTTTGCCTTAAATAACCTGTAAAGTGTTGGTAAACCTTAAAAAATCAACCAATGTCGACTATTTCTACATTTTCTTCTTTAAAAATTTTGTTCTAAATAAATGAAAAGGTGCTTCATGGAAGAGTGGAATCATGCCTTTCCAAAAGTATTAATTCGAAAAACAATCTTAAGCAAAATTTGAACAATGATCTGTGATTCCGTTTGTCGTCCTGGCAAACGTTCTGTCATTCCACATCTCTCTAGATAGATAGACAATCAAACAAACGTGGTTTTCTGTGTGCATCTGCGTGTAGTTGCAGATTAGTTATTTAATTGTGATTAATGTCAAATCAGACAATTGAATCGTTGCGTAATTTTCATTCAGGCTTTGTGTGAGAATCTCTTAGTGTCAACAAATCCACTCAGTTGCCAAAGTCTGAGAGCGTATAAGTATAATATAATCAGATTCTGTAGAATCGGTGGTTTGGCGATTGAGAACCAAAACGAAACGAAGAGACGCAAGAGATTTAAGCGACAGCAAATGATCCGATTAAAGACTGCACTTCTTGAGTCAGCAATATCGACTCACGCCTTCTCAAAGTAGATATCTCGCTCAATAATTCGCCTTGACAAGACGCAGTAGATAATAAACAGGCAACAGTTTCAATATTGTTATCTTTTCTTATGCGTTTCATTCTCAGAGTGAGGCTACCTTCCAGGTCGGTTAAGAAATCTATTAGGTTGGAAAGAAAACCTTGTTGCATTTGAAGATAGTCAAGAAACAAATGGTTATGCTATTAATTGATATATTTAATTAACATAATATTCCTCTTTATTATCGATGGCATAATCCTATCTACGAGGATGTGCTGAAAAGTTCATAGGCTGACTATGAAGGAATCGGGCTAGAGTTGTGAAAAATTGCATGCATTAATTTCAAATCTTTTTATTAATAGCTGCTTTGTTTCTTTCCAGGCACGAGGGCGAGCTAAAAGAGTTCATAGGGTGACTATGAAGGAGTGATCCTAGAGGTGTGAAATCTTGCATGTGTAATTTCATCTCTTCGTATTAATAACTGCATTGTTGCTGTTTCCAGGTAAACTGATATCTGACTTTTCAAAGAACATTGTTCGTCCTGTTCATCATCATCCCTGCGATAATGGTTCCGAGTGTTCCCAGTGCTTTTTCATGTTGGGGAACAGATGATAATCAAAGTAGGAGAATAAGGTCTGTGATTAACATGTTCAACGCCACAGTCACGCGCAACAGCCATTAAAACCAAGGAGTTGTGTTTTGGAGCATTGTCCTGATGAAACAAGACCCGTTTCCTCATTTCCTCTTGAATTTTCCTCTTGATAGCCTTTTATGACTGCCTCACACAGCTAGAATAGCAAGCACCACTGATGATGGGCCCTTTGAAGATATTCAATAAACATAATGCCTTTTGCATACAAAAAACTGAGATCATCAACTTTCCTTGGCTTTCTTTGGAGGGAAGTTCCCACTTTATGGATTGTCTCTGGATCAAAGTAATGAACCCAACAATCCTCCTGGGTTGGTAAACGTTCATAGAAACCAGTTGGATCTGTCTCAAACAATGTCAGATTTTCCCGTGATGTGATCAGCCTGGTGGGATTTTCATGAGGCATTAGAAGACGTGGAGCAGAACGAGCAGAAACCTTTGTCATGATAATTGTGCAGAATATTCTTAACTCTCTCATGGGATATTCTAATAGCTTTGCTTATTTGATTTATAATCAGCTGTCTGTCATCCACCACCATATGGTGAACAGCATCAATGATTTCTTCGATGGTGGCAGTTGCATGACGTCGATACCTAGGGTTATCTCCAAGACCCTACATCTCCCCACTTTCGCATTGTTGATAAAGCCGGGACGCCGTCCCCTATTCTTGCAACCATGTAGGAATGAATGTCCTTTTTGTCCGTTTTGCTTCAGGTATTTGATAACACCACGATTTCAAATTTTCTCTGTCTGTAAAAGAAATCGCTACTAATTACTTTTGAAGTCTTCTTTGCATAGTCAGATGTCAGTTTATCTGGAAATAAACAATGCAGTTATTAATAAGAAGTGATGAAATTAATGCATACAATTAATCTCAGCTCTTGCGTCACTCTTTCATAATCAGCGGATGAACGTTTTAATCCAATCTTGTATTAGGGCGTAATTGATCCAAAGAAATACTCTGTTTTAACTATTAGTTTTAACCTCTTCAAAATTAAAAATTTTTCCCCTCTGAAAATATTGCAATCATATGAAAAGATGGCAGTCAGAAGGAGCAAGTTAAGGAGAGTAAGTAGGATATGGCAAACGTTTTATATTTAGTACGATAATCTTTTTCTTTAGGTAATTATTATCATGTAAAAGCAACACACCTTTATGGTTAACTAGTGATAGTCGATTGTTTTCTGTAAATTCTCGTGCAATGCTTCTAGTTGATGACATGTTTTGTTCCCGTTTAGCAAGGTGGAGTAATGGATAGCGGCTCGGATTGAGGAATCAGAGAGCCGAGTTCGAATTTCAGTTGAATCCATTACATTCACTTACGTGCTAATATCCTTGGGAAAGGTATATATCCTCTTCTTCTCCCTCCAGCTATGGTTAAATAGCAAGGGAGACCGGGATCTATAGCCTTGGATTGCAACTAGTCTACCACAGAAAAAATGGCAACCTGCTGCGGGAAAATAATCTGCCTCGTCAGTAGTTTAAGCGACCTTTTTTTTGCGTTTACACCGTTTCTTCCCTGACCGGTGCTAGACATATTTGCTGTCTACCAAAGGACTATTTTTTCAACTTTTCAGACTGCCTTAATTTAGTTAAGTTTTTTGATTTAATTATACACCATTTTTCTAACGTATTTTTTTTGACTCTTTTGTTAAAACTTGTCATTTTTCGAACTTTCTTATTTTGACCTTTGTTTTTTCCTTTTCATTTCCTTTCCCTTTTAACCGTTACTTTTTTTTTGTTATTAATTATTTCTGTTTTGATTTTTTATTTACGTTTTGCTTTTTTCCTAAGTCTTTTTTTTCAGTACCCACAACCCGGAGTTTTTCTGTTTATTTTTCGTTTCTCGTTTAACCTTTTTAATTTTTACGTGTTAATTATTTCTGTGTTACCTGTTTAAAAAAAAAAAAAAAAAAAAGTCTACGTGTTTATAATATTTGTTTTAATTTTTGTAATTTCTGTCCTCCTTTTTTTAACGTTTTTTCTTTATTGGGTTGACCGTTTTTTAGCGGCAGCCATTTTGTAAATTGTAATTTTTTTTGTTTCGTACGTATTGCGTTTTCTCTTTTCCGTTTATAACTATTAGTTTTATTGTGTAATTTATTTGCTTTCTTGTCTGTTGTCCTTTAAATTTTTTTCTTTCTTCGTTTTCGTGAACCTTGTTCATTTTTTTTCTATATCTGTATATTTTTTTTTTTTGTACCTGTTTATATTTGTGGTTATAATTTTGCACACGTCCTCCTGTTTGATTTTTTTGTCTGTTGATATTTGTTTAATTGTTGTCTTGCTGATAGGCCAAACTTTATTTTTTACCCTCCCTTTTTTTTTTTTTCTCTCCTCCCTCCGCCTATAAGGCGGTTCCCCACCCGTATTTACCCCTCCCTCCCTTCTTATTATTTAAAAATGGAGAAAAAAAGGAAAAAAAGCCACCCTCCTTTTTTGGCTATTTAAAAAAAAGCCAAAAAAAGGCTATTCAAAACATCTTTTCAACCCAACAAAAAAAAGACCCCCGGACAAAGACAGTTTGGAGGAATTTCCAGCTCTTAATACCTCCCCTAGCAACATGGATACTGTTGGGAAAAAGTCAAAAAAAATGGTAATAATTATTTCTACGGAAGCTAAGAATGGCAACAAAAAGGACTCTTCTATGGAGGCCAATAATGGCCAAATTCTGAAAATTCCAAAATGAACCGCAACTGAGCCTGAGGCCGGGGAATCGCCCTCTTGTTGGTCGTCCCCTCCTAAGTGCATTATCAATTTAGCGGAGTTCTTGGAGCGTGCCAAAAGTTACGCACACCTTGTTGTAGATGGTGGACTTTTGGAAGACCCCCAAGAATTGAAAAAATTGACAAAAGAATAGTGTCGGTTTTCGTCGTGGACAAGCGTACGCGCAAAATTTGTCGCTCGACGAAAAACACAGTGTTAAAAGCATTGGAATCCTTCGGGTTCAAGCCCCTTAGAATAGTTAAGGGTGCTAAATTTTTCATAATGGGACGTACTGTTGCCCACATCAGAAGATTGCGTCGCCGCGGCTAGCCGTGAGCTTATCAACAAAGAGATAATACTGCGTACAGAGTACGAAGGCCGACGTAAGACCAGGGTAACGGTATACGAGGTCCCTCCTCAGGTTATCGGGGAACATCTCGCGGCGTTCTTCTCTCAGTATGGCGAAATTCTGGGAGCTTCCTGTGATAGCCTGAGCGGGGGTGGAGCTTTGACATCATGTTGGACGAGAAAGCCTTCCGCTCCATCCCCAACTGTCTGGATGTTGGCGTCTTGAAATTACCGGTCATTGTGACGGGTCGAAGACCGGTATGCTGGAGGTGTGGAGTGACTGGTCATCTCTCCTCCTCCTGCCCAGAGAAGAAGGCCTCTGGAAGTCAAGCGCCAGTTACCCAAGATCCCCTCTGACCGCGTCTCTAAATTCCGCCTCGCCTGTAATGGGCGTACCAGCCTCCGGGACCGGGTCGGTTAATCCTCCGGTCGGCGCAACATCAAAAGCCACATTCCCCAAAGAGCCTTCGCCCGCTGCCGGTGCAGTTGTGGAGAAGGGGAGGGG